TACCACATACTACTAACATGCCACATACTAATAAAATGCTCCCACTGTTTCATTAAGATACCTCACATACCATCAGCAATCAAATGGAGTTAAGTCAGACTAATGTTCGAAAATCCTGATATTAGTTACATGGGGCTAACGCGCTCGCTCATTTTCATTGAGGTAACTCACATATGCGGTATAAAGTCACGCGGAAGTTCAAAAATATTTATATTAGATATATGAGGGCTACAAGAACTATTGATCCGATTCAACCCATTTTAGAAACAAAGACATACTATTATATGAATTTCAATTATATATCTTACACAATGGCCGATATTTACGGTAAAAAGTCAACCATAGGTACTGTGGTCCACATATTCAGTCCCTAGGGGCTTGAACAGTTTTGGTTCGATTTAGAGAATTTTTGGTCACAAGGTGGAATACTTTAACGATATAATCATTGTTGCTTGATTTGCGTAGTGGAAAGTGATAGAATCAAGTGGAATTTAAAATGGTGCCATATGGAAAATAGGCGTGGTTATAACCCGATTTCGCCCATTTTCGAACCACAACATAGAAATATAAAAAGAATGTTATGTACTAAATTTAGTTGAAACCTAAAAGTGGGCGGTGTCACGCCCACTGTCTAATTTTGAACGCGGTTCCTATAAAGTCATCTCAGACCATCCCTGAGATAAAATTTAATGTCTCTGGCGTGTTTAGTGCTTGATTTATTGCGCTTTTAGTAGTCTTTAACTGTACCGTTATATGGGGAGTGGGCGGAGTTGCCAACCGCTTGCAACTATTTGCACACTGTAAGTAGAGGTGCTAAAAACATTTGCTTCCAGTGAATTTTGTTATTATAGCTTTAGCAGCTTAGGAGATATGCACATTAAACCTATTAGGGGCGGGACCACGCCCACTTAAAAAAATAAATTTTAACTGCAGATGCCCCTCCCTAATGTGATCTCGTGTACCAAATAACAGTCCTGTATCTTATTGCGGAGCTTAGTTATGACAATTTATTTGTTTTTGAATAATGGCGTTTTGTGGGCGTGGCAGTGGTCCGATTACGCCCATCTGCAATACCAACCGTCTTACTGTACCAAGAAACATGTGTACCAAGTTTCATAAAGATATCTCAATTTTTACCCAAGTTACAGCTTGCACGGACGGACGGACGGACGGACAGACAGTCACCCGGATTTCAACTCGTCTCTTCATCCTGATCATTTATATATACATAACCCTATATCTAACTTGATTAGTTTTAGGTGATACAAACAACCGTTAGGTGAATAAAACTATTATACTCTGTAGCAACATGTTGCGAGAGTATAAAAACATAATCACCTCAAAAGGACACAACAACAACCACACCAGCCTAAATCAGCACAGCGAAGCAGAAACTGGGAGAGAGCCACAATCAGAAAAAGCAACACACAAGTATACCATACACACATATGGTATACAATATTGTCCACAAAACCCCTGGCGGACCCCAAAGTGAGTCGTATCGTTTCCTATTCTTTTATTTTATCATGAATATATGTATGTAAAAATTACAGTTTTATATATATAGAACCTGTAATAACAAATACGTTCACCAAACTACAACAGTTCGGCAAAATATATTATATATATATATACCAACATATAGATGTAATATTAACAACACCAATAATTCAATGCCTATTTATGCTTAGCTTCGTGTATTCAAATACACCATCAAGAAACAAAAAGCAAAAACAAATTCAAGTATATACTTGCAAATTTCTCCAGCAATACTCCTTGTGTTTAATAAAGCAATAAGCAGGATTGCATATAATAAGTAAGCAAAAGCAAAATAGCAAACCTAAAACAAGACAGAAAAACAAATAAAAACACAACAAACAAACATACATATATGCATATCGAAATAACGCTATAATTAATATTTCTGTAACTTTATACCCTACTTTGGAACCTAATAAAGTTATTTAATATCCATTTCAAAAAAAAAAAAAACAATTATCATAAATTTCGAATATTATCGAATTTATTAAAAATTAAAATTAAAACATTTTTTCCAACAACATACTTACATATATATGTTACATAATATATATATACAATTTTACATATATTCAAAGTCCTCATAGGCAATTATCCGGAAATACCCCTTGTTCTTTGGCAAACAAAAACAAGCAGGATTGCATACAAAAAAACACGCATTGATCTCTTCAACGAGCTCTCAATTGCATAAAAAAACAAAAATAAGCACATACATACATACGCACAACAATTCGTGCATACTTATGTCCAAAGCGCATTGATCTCTTCAACGAGCTCTCAATTGCAAAAGAACCTAACTACGTACAAACAAGTCCATATTAATAAACGTTTTACCAATATAATATAAATAACAAATACTTATTTACCGATACAGGTAATAAACTTTATTGCTTTATTCAAATCAGTATACACTGAGCAAATTTTAATACCTTTTGACACTTATTTAAACATATAAATAAAATGATAAATGTTGATAATAAACAACATACACCTGGAGCTTCACGCTCAAAACAGGTTGCTATATTTATTTCAGAGAGGGACAGGTTAATTAGATACTGTACTAGGTTTTCATCTTCACCGATTCAAGACAACTCAGAATCGTTATTAGAAATAAAAAAAGCAAAATCTTAACAATTTTTGGACTCGTCTCCAAGCGGCTCATGATGCCATAATAGAAACTGAGTCATCAGATCTACCACAAAATTTTAAAACCTCGGCTCTCGCCAATTATGAAAACTGCTTAGACCAGTACAAAGCTACAAAAGCTATGATCTCCGATCAGTTAAAGATAATAAAATCTATTGCACCTACTCCACATCCGAGAGTAGAGCTGCCACAAGTACTAAATCAAAAGGGCAAATTCAGGCATTAAACTCGAGGTGCCCGCATGTGACACAGAAACATTTCATGGAGGTTATTCAATTGCTTATATTGTCACAAAGGACACCACTCAATGCTTCATTACAGCAAATTTCCCATATCACCCCAAAGAAGCGCTTATACAAAAAGAACCACAGGTTTAGTGGTAACAACAACTAACGAAATCCCGAAAATTGCCAAGAAGCACCATGCTCAAAAGTATTAAAAACTCAAACGCTACACAGCGAAAACTAAAGTAGAGTACTACAATCCACAGCAGTCGTCTCCATCGTATACCGGTGAGAACTGTTTAAGGAGAACTGAAAAGAAGTTCAAAACTCTAATCAAATCTGCCCCTTTACCCTAATTTCTCCCCAAGCGGATAAGCACATACAAGCAGAAGCTATAGTCTTACCGCAACTTACAAATATGCTTCCAAGCTATCATACAAATAGAAAGCATTGGCAAAAGGTTTCACACCTGAAGCTAGCTAATCCCAACTGCCCTGCTCAAATAGACATTCTATTAGGCAGCGATCTCATACCTCAGATAATACTAGAGGATGTTGAGAAAATTTCAAACACACTATTGGCACAAAATACTATTTTCGGTTGGATCCTAAGTGGACTAGTTACGGAACCAGTTACCACAATGACAACTCAAGTTGAGGAAATCTCAAACGAATACCTCAATTCACAATTGAAAAAATATTTGGAGTTAGAAGAACTCCCCCTCATATCAATTACAACCCCAAAAGATCAGTATTGTGAAGACCTCCACAAAGCCACAACTACTCGATCAAATAATGGCCGGTACGTCATACGACTACCACTAAATTCCCAATGTGCCAACACTTCACGAATTGGCAGAAAAAACCAAGTCAGAGTCCCTTCTGCCAAAATCAGGTTTTAAAACATAAGTACATATTACAGTACAACTTTTCGACCCCGCAGGATGGCTCTTGCCAATAATGATACCAAAATCCTGCTTCAAAAATCTTGAGTTATGTGGCGCGCTACTACTTTCCAAAATCGCAGTTAACATAACATATAACAAAATTGTGATAAGAAAGTCGAAAACTCAACACCTCTCTTACTAGAGTGCCTCATAGTTGTCAACATTTTCATATCGTATAAAACTTCAAAAATAAAGTTAAGGGATCACCATACTTACAATGTGATAAAGTGACGCACCCAGACTTACAAAAAGCAAAGGTCGCACTTATCGCAACTATCTAAGCGCTCATCAAATGGGTAGTAAAAGTTGTAGATCTCACTTCAAAAATATGGGTGAAAATCATAATTCTCACTCTCGCAAGATCCCTCTTCAAATATTTTCAAAGGAGCATTCATTCTGGCCATATCTGAGCCAGGCGTGGAGTCGCCATCCTCATAAACTGATAATAAAGAGATTGCAAATAATTGCTGATAATACAGAAAAGGTAAATCATAAAAAATCCGCATAAAAATCGAAAAAAGGAAAAATCGTAAATACAATCACTACCTATTGTATTGCCAACTATAAAACCAAAAAATTCTCAGAATATAGTTGCGCATCTTAAGTCTATACCAAAATACAAATCGATTAATACCAAAAGTGTTTCTTACAGCTAATATTCGCACCCTCGGCTACTCCATCAACAGCACGCCGAAATGCATAATACAGTCCATATGCGTAATACTAGGCAAAATATTCGCCTAGGGAGCACAGGATGGTTAAATGAGCTAAGCCTCCCCCTCGCATATATGTATATACCAACCAAACAGGTACATTATTGGCACACCCTAATAATACACACCACTCCTGAGAACCCCATACAGGATGTCACCACACGCTGAATATCACCACACACGAGGACGCCTGACACCACCAACCAACAAAAAGGATTGGATCATCGCTTCTACACTCATTCGCTATATACAATTCGACAGCGCAATTTAATTCTACAAGTCTTTCTTCTTTTTCTTGTATTATAATTCCCTTTGGTTTAAAAACATTGATCGACATCGCTCCGGACTTCATTCGACCACCCCTTCGACACCGTTCCGATTCACTATTTCAATATATAAATATATTAAGTGTAACAATATTTTGTGTAAAAGATAAATCGCATATCTTCTATTACAAACATCATGTATTTTCACTTATAACTTTAACCGCGAGTGTAAGTGGCTCAAAAAAACTTATAAGGTGCTGTGTGCTTCCCATTAAAGTGGGCACCCAATTATTCAATTGGCAATGCACACATTCGGTTAGACGTGTGAGTCACTTAGTAAATTATTAAATAAATTAGTTTGGCTTCTTTGAAATATCATGGTAAATATGCGAGATAAGATAAGATTGTAAGGTTCATTTGAAACACGAATGTTAACATATTATATAAGTAATATTTCTCATTAGTAAGTATAATTTGTTAAAAAATATCAATATAAGAAAGAATAATTGTTTTGTTTATAGTGAAAATATTAATACAAAATTATATTTTATTTCTTATAGGTCACTTTATCTATCTCTATACTCATCAGCTTGCATGTGTTTTTCCTCTTAGTAGTCGAAATTATACCTCCCACTTCGCTTGTTGTACCACTTTTGGGAAAGTATCTGATATTTGCAATGATATTAGTATCAATTAGGTAAATACTATATAGTTCTATAATTTAGCGATAAAATATCTTAAATTATATATACTTTAATTTTTAATCTACAGCATTTGTGTAACTGTCGTCGTTCTGAATGTACATTTTCGTTCTCCGCAAACTCACCGAATGGCTCCATTGGTGAAAAGGGTTTTTGTCAACTTACTTCCACAGTTCTTATTTATAAAAAGACCAAAATACAACATTGAAACAAGGTGATTATGTATTACGAATAAAAATCTCGACAATTTAAATGTTACTGCATTGACCTAGAAAATTTAAACTAGTCTATTGAGCAAAAGAAACTTGCATACAACATAAGCATCAGGTCACTTAGACCTTACAAACTATTCTTTATCACTATAGAGATCCTCCAAAGTCGTAAGTCAGCTGTTTTGACTTATGAAAGAGATTGTGACATTTAGAGATAGGAACTTCCCTTGGGCAATACAAACATTTTCATATCTCTAAAGAACACTATTGTTATAAATTAAATATTAAAGAAATCTGACAAAGGCTGACTTCGAAAACGTAATAATCAAAAGTATGGTATGAATATAGTTTGAGTGCAGTATTTATACATTGTTTTTGCGATCGTATAAAGATAAATAAGGATACAATTAAAACTAAATAGCTTAATTAAAGATAATTTCTTCAGTTTCTACGAAAATAGAAGCACAAACCTCATTCCATTATAAAGGAAAATATAACATATTTTTTCCATCATATTTACAGTTTTTGCCAAAATCTCTGAATTTAATGAAAATTGTTTATAAATTAATAAAATTATTAATAAGAAAGCTTATAAAACTGACTACGCCATTCAATTTGCACCTTATCGTTCTTCTAAGTTCTCTGGTTTAATACGTCTAATATTATTATCAGATTCGGTGCCATTATCTGTTGAATCTTCAGAATGCAAGTCCAGCAAATTTATATTTAGGTTTATTTCTGGAAGGGTCTTAACTCACTTATGAAGTCTTTCTAGAACATTTTCAAGTTTTCTTTCCTCAAAAACAGCATATTTTTTTTGATTTTCCTCAATTAGAATACGATGTGTTATGCAAGTCTGCTCATTATCGTTTACAATGAGATCTTGCTGTTCATTCCGCCATGAATAGTAAAGTATTACCATTTCGGGGAAATACTCAACTCTGGCCAAATCTGGGTTAAACCTTCTATACCGAATAATACAAGGTTTGGTACGTTTCTTAACAAAACCGCTACCGTCCTTAAGAGGCATGACAACCGCGCTTTGTGGTAAATTATCGTTTTCCCTCTCTTTTTCTTCATGATCACTGTCTTGTGCTCTTCTACCAGAAAAAGTAAATGGAAGAGAAGGTGCAGGTTCGACAGCGAACAATTTGTAGGATTTTATCAAGGAGTTCACCTCACATGCACGAGAAACAAATAACATTTCTCGCTTTTAACACAGCGGTGAATCTGTAAACATACGCTCTCTTAACATAACCAACCGACGAATATTGAAGAGAATATAATATTATATTTAAGCAAAGCTGGGAATATTGATATGCCATTTGAAATATATTCCTTTCATTGAACTATTATTTTTAAATTATTTTATAATTCATTTTCACTTTATTGTGAGTTATTAATAGTAATTTAAACATAATTTGATATATTTCTTAAAATAATTCATTTACTTGACACCATTATGGAGTCACAAAAGTACAGAATTGTGTTTTGCCGTCGGCATTTTCATATCATGTGTAAAAATATTTGTAAATTTATCTACAAATATCATATGTATGTAGATATGAACACTCATTACTTCATGTGAAATCTCCGTTGACACGGTCAACCAATGATCGAAGCTTACGTTCTTTGCTTTTATGTCAAAGAGTCAATCTGTCGAAGGACTGACGCGACGACAAAGCGTCACAACATTGTGTTGTTGGTAGAAAATCCGAGATGTGCCGAAAAATAAACGAACGCTCGCCGATTGTCATCGCTTCCCTTGCCGCTCTAACAGCTTTGCCTACAAATCATTGTAGGTATGTATGCTTTTATATGAACATGCATACATATTGACGAAGATTTTTGGGAGCCACGGAAAAATATTTTATAATTGTGAAATATTTTAAATCGACGCAAGCTTTGTTGCCACATTTGTCATTTTTATACTCTCGCAACCTGTTGCTACAGAGTAAAATAGTTTTGTTCACCTAACGGTTGTTTGTATCACCTTAAACTAATCGAGTTAGATATAGGGTTATATATTATATATATAAATGATCAGGATGAAGAGACGAGTTGAAATCCGGGTGAGTGTCTGTCCGTCCGTCCGTGCATGCTCTAANTTCTTCAGTTTCTACGAAAATAGAAGCACAAACCTCATTCCATTATATAGGAAAATATAACATATTTTTCCATCATATTTACAGTTTTTGCCAAATTCTCTGAATTTAATGAAAATTGTTTATAAATTAATAAAATTATTAATAAGAAAGCTTATAAAACTGACTACGCCATTCAATTTGCACCTTATCGTTCTTCTAAGTTCTCTGGTTTAATACGTCTAATATTATTATCAGATTCGGTGCCATTATCTGTTGAATCTTCAGAATGCAAGTCCAGCAAATTTATATTTAGGTTTATTTTTGGAAGGGCCTTAACTCATTTTCCACAATATGTAGTTTATTTTAAGCACCTTCCTCTAATTCTATTTTATTATAAAGGATTTATAGAACATTTTCAAGTTTTCTTTGCTCGAAAACTTCATATTTTCTTTGATTTTTCTCAATTAGAATACGATGTGTTATGCAAGTCTTGAGATCTTGCTGTCCATTCTGCCTTGGATAGTAAAGCATTACCATTTCGCGAAGTCATTACCATTTCGAAAAGTCAACTCTGGTACAAGGTGTGGTACGTTCTTTAACAAAATCGCTACCGTCTTTAAGAGACATGACAACCCCGCTTTCTGGTAAATTATCGTCTTCCCTCTCTTTTTCTTCATGATCACTATCTTGTGCTCTTCTACTAGATTTAAAATATATATACCTAGATACGAAATCAGGTTAACAAAGAGTTTTATACTGATCGGATCTTTGAACATAACGGTATAAAATACCGGCTACCAATATTTCAGTCGAACCTGAAGGAAGGTTCTGAAGCTCCACTCTAGGTTTTACCACTCGAACACGTTCCTCAGGTCGAGAAGTATTTATAAATATTTCTGCATTACTTGCCGAAAGATGGAGCCCAATGCAGTAATATACTGCTTCTTGTGCAGATTATTCTGTGCTCGATATAAATTTGTGACCTATATGTTTAAGTTTTTGCTTAACAGTATAATTTCCAGCATTTACCTCTGATATAGCTTTATTTAGGAAAAGAAATTCCCCAGTATATATTGGATATCCATAATTGCTCTATGGAGTTCCAAAATCAGAGGATTATAAGTGTTTATAAAACGATCGGGTAATTTTCTTTTTCGAAAATTTTGGGTTGTGTTAAACTTGATCTAAAGGCTAACAAATAGACATCAAAAAACATATTTATTTTAATATCAGAGAGGAAATGTTCAAAATCTTTTAAATTAGAAATGTCTTCTGTAGTCATATTTGAATTTAAAACGTTATGAATTTTTAAAAAGTTTTCCTTGTGTCTTTCTGAATTTTGACTTGTTTTTGTAAGAGAGAACAGTATTTGCGTTGAAAGCATTGGTGGATATGGTATACCAAAACGACTAAACTGTTGTCCTCTTATTTCCCTAGTACAAGACCGACTGTTGTTATGCTTTTGATAACACAAATAATTTTCTAAGTGGATTACCGAACCATCTGTAGAAATATAATTGTCAATAGAACGAATGACATCAGGGAATGTCTGAGAATCTTGAAGGTTAATCCTGGGAGCATTAATAAGACAATAGATGCCATGTACATGCGGGGGACGTCTCTGTTGAAACTCCACTCCCCAGTAGAGATTTGTGACAAAATGCTCTCCAAAAATGCCGGGGCTAACTTCAAAAAGCTTAAGAATTTGTTGATAGTAATAGTCAAAATATCTAGCACAAGTAACCGCGTCTGACCGAATTAAGCGATATCTATCTTGGGTTGTTAAACCAGAGAACGTAAATGAACGTTCATTTACGTTCTCTGGTGATGCGGCCTTGAAAAATCACTCTTATGCAGGTAAAGAAGTATTCACTTCAAAAATACTTTTACAACTAAATGATAAAGCCTAAGTGATTTTGGATAACCGTTTTCAGGTTGTACAGAAAACAATGTTACAAATGACACAACATTGTAACACAAATAATTTGACCGCAATTGCTAATGAAAACTTGCCAAAAATTAGTCCTTGATCAAATATATGTTTTTGACGGTATAGTCGTAGCGTGAATAATAACAAAAAATATTTTTTTGGAAAGAAACGTCTTTCAAATTTAATACTTGCCAAGATAAGACAATCAGGCAAGAGAGCGATAGCAGTTGCTTTATCAGTAATTGCTGCAACTTTTCTATTGGATTAAAAAACTGCTCATTCTATTGTTAAACTTCCACTATCCGTAAATCTTAAGCTTCACAGATTAAATGGGATGAATGCACCACGAGCCAAAAAGCACATATAGAGGCCACGGACAGAATCTTAAAATATCTTAATAAATAGGGAGACTTATTTTCCCCATTCTAAATTTAAGCAGAAATTGTATCATGATGACATTGGATTAGTCTCTATTCGAAATAGTCCACAGTTTAGAAGTTTTAATAGATGCAGTAACCCTGACATCGACAATTTACACGAAAAAGACTTTCACCGGTTGTGTTCTAGGGCAATAGTATCACCTATTAATAATAGTGTCAACGAAATAAAACATTTTGCTATTCAAAAAGTTTCCGACCAAGTAAACAATTACATCCATTATCCACAGGAATTTTTAAGGGGTATTCTAGTCTAGAAATGAAAAAATTTATGTTTTTTTATATTTTCAAACATTTTTATTGAGTCTGATTTATAGACTTGTCACTTCAAATTTTTACTTCGAAACATTCAAAAAAAGGGACCCAAATAATATTTTTTTTTCGGCAGTAGCCATTTCGTGAACAGTTTTTTATCAACTTTTCCGTAGAACCAGGCATTGCAACATCATTCTAGACTAATAATTTTTGTTTATTTTTTTTTTCAAATAGGTTGGATACCCATGATGGGTATGGTCACGTGGTAATTTTTTGAGACCGCTCATTAGCTGCTAATTTTTGAAATGTTTAATTTTTATACTCTTGCAACA